GCTTGCGGCAAGTGCAGCCGGGCTGATGGCCGAGTGCTGTGATGTGCCGAGTGTGGGCACTCAGGGCACTCCAAGCCAGGACTGCTTTGCAAGCGGGGAACCCCTGAGAACTGTCTGTCCGGAATGGGGGTCGGGTCCCTTTAAGCACAGCCCTCGGCTAGCCTAAGACAGCAGCTCCACACTCTAAGTCCTAATCTGATGCCCTGCCGGCACTGCTTCCGGCCATCCTTAACCTAGGTTCAGGGTCCACTCAGTGTGGACATGCTAGTTCGAATTAGCAAAATGCTAAGTCGAACTAGTTTTTAAGTCTAGATGCACTAGTTCGAATTAGCTTAGTTCGAATTAACTAATTCGAATTAAGTTAGTTCGAATTAGTGCTGTAGTGTAGACATACCCTCTCAAAGTAACCGTGTCTTAACAGCATGTTATTTCGAAATAGTGCCATAATGCTGTGGAAGAAAACATTGTCCTCACTCTGCGTTGTGTTTAAGCAACAAGTAGCCAGAGGCAGTTTTATTACGAGCTGCAGCAAGGGAAAAACTGGTTCGGACGGGGGGGAGCCCCCCCTTCCGAGGCAGATCTTCGAATACAAGCAATTATGAAGCAGTTTATATACTGTCCATTAGATATAATAACAATAACAATTAGTCTCCTTCCCATTCCAAACACCAATGGCTAACAGTTATTTAGTTCCACCCAGATGCTCCTTATCTCAAGGTCCCTGCCAGAGTCAGCGTTCTATCCTTATCTCCGTATGGAGGCGAGAGGCGAAGGCAGCGTCTAATCACAGATCTCGCGTTGTAGGCCTCAGACTTAGCCTGACTCTTGCTGTCTTGTTAACAAGACCAAGATGGCTGCACATAAATTCCCTTATTCCCGCCTCCACAATGCCATTATGCAAAAGAAGCGCGGGATATTTAAATCCCAGCTTCATTTGCAATTTTGAATGTCTTCATTTGCATCCCTCTCTCGACAGAGGGAGCAAGTGCAGACACTACCCTCTGCGTGCCTTCTCCCTTTGCCCAGTCCAGAAGCCCTGTCCTTCCAGTTGAGGCTCTGAAATCCCTCTCCAGCAGCTCCTCCCTGAGCCCCTCTGTTTTTTGCCTCTCTTCTCCTCCATCCTTTGTCCGTGTCCCCTGCCCCACACCGCCTGGAACTTGCTGTCTGGTTACCGGAGTCCTTTCTCCACAGCCCTTTGTCCTTCCACTGGCCAGAACTGGCTGTGCCATCTGATCTGGGTCTCCAGCTCCGTTCTCCAGGCTACTAGCTGGAGTCCCCAGTGCCATGCTGATTCCTGTAACAACAAACTCCCTCTCCCCTCACCGTGTTAAACCAGTAACACCCAGCAACATGCCGCATGCAAATCCCTTGAAACCTCCACAAACCTCCCACTTCATCACAGAGATTCAAAACCTTAAAAATGAAAATTCACAGTTGCATTTTTGGCAGCTAGAAACGTTGTTTGTCCTTTTCCAGGAAGAAGAAGACAGATCAGTTCCTGAGAGATGCTGTGGAAGCCAGACTGAGGATGCTGATTCCGTACATTGAGAAATGGCCCCAGGTACAAAACCTGCAGATTGTTTGTTTTTTTTTAAATATGTCACTGAAGCTGCTTAATCCCCTAGCACGCATGTTTTAATCTCTCCATCAGACCAGTCCAAAGCTGGGTGTGAAATCCATACTGGATAGTTCCTTCCAGATGTAAGGGGCTGACCTTGGAGGGTAACAGCTGTCAGCAGGGTGTCCTTTCATAGAATTATAGAGCTGGAAGGGACCTCAGGAGGTCATCAAGTCCAGCCCCCTGCCCAAGGCAGGACCAATCCCAACTCAATAACCCAGCCAGGGCTTTGTCATTCTACAATGGCAAACATCTCATGATGCTTCCTTTCCAGTCAGGTGCTCCAAAGGGAGTTCAGCTTCTGTGCTGGATAGCTCCTGCACTCAAATTGCAAGTCAGGTTCCTTGTAGCATTGGTCCTGAGGTCTGCTGCATTCTGCTCATCTGATGCTTGCAGATGGAAAAGTGGTGCTTATTTGCTTCTGCAGTCTAACGATCAACTCTTAAAACCACTAAGGCAACTTGTGGGAACTTTGATTTAGCTGCCTCCTTTCTTGGGCCAGAAGATTAGGAGACTTGTGCAGGTGAAGTGCTCAGTTCCTGTGGGGGTTGGTATAGCGTTAGTAACTACCAGCTAATCGAGAAGCGTCATGCCTGGGTTGGATAGCTTCATCCCGTTTTCCCAACAGAGAGAGGAGAGATAGCATTACTCCTGCCTTTCTAAAACTGTGGCTCCTAACCCCCCCCCCTCCCCAGGGGGTCACGAGCAACTTAGAGGGGGGTTGCAGTATCACAGTTTGAGATCCCCTGCATTACTCTCTTAGTTGTACTGTGAAGGAGTACAGAGGCCTCCCCGTGGAGGATGGGTGTGCTCCTTATTGCAAGAAAGAGGCACCAATAGAATTCAGAATGGCCCTGCCACTCAGGGAGAAGCCCCAGGAAAGAGCCTAAAGTTAGCTGCACGGGATTGGGCATGCTGTCTGCTCAGGGTGGAGGCAGAACGGTAGCTATATGCAGGTCTTGGCAAGCGGCGCCGAAGCCTCGTGGTTTGGCATGCTGCGCATGCTGATTGTGCTGTGGCGCTGTGCCGGCCTAAAATGTACTTGCCCCGGATGAGTAGATTGACTAATTTGTCAAGCCCTGGCGATATGGGTGGGGTGTGTGTGTGTGCAAAAGATAACGTGTTGGTTGATTTGTTTTAATGCTTCTTTCCACTTGTCTGTCTCCCTCTTCTCAGGCTGTAAGCATTCTGCTGCTTCCACACAACATCCCTGCCAGCCTAAACCTCCTCACTAGTATGGTAGATGATATGTGGCACTATGCAGGAGACCAGTCCACTGATGTAAGTCCTGGTGCCTTGCAGACACACTAGTTGTACCTTTTAGCACTGCGTCACCATGCGAAGGACTCACATGTGCACTGTAAATCGCATTGGCTTCTGAGCAAGGCCTTTATCCCCGGTGGAGCAGTGAGTAAGGACAATGTTTTCAGAAGATTAAGTTCCCATTTTCAGCAGACACCTAGAAAAAGTCCTTTCAAAGTCTGTGGGACGTAGACACCTTGTAGGATTTTCAAAAGCCTAGCTGCATGTCTAATTTCCTAAATACCTTCAACATTGTCTCTCCTTCCCATTGACTTTCATTGAAATATAGGCTCTTAAGTCACTATTGAAAACAGAATGTTATTGTGAGAGGGTGAATGGCAGAATCCCCTCAGGGTTGCCCCCTGGTGGGCTGATCATGCCACTGACGCCTGCCTTCCTGCTCTCCGGGGCTCCCCACCACCTGTCCCGCTAGACAGATCCCCTGGTCTCCCCTAGATCAGGTACAGAGTTGGGGTTACTGCCCCCTGAGCCAGTTCAGCTCCAGGAGGGTTCCAGTACCCAGGAAACCAACCCCTAAAGGAGTCCAAAGCCCCAAATAAATCTGCCTTACTCTGTATAAAAGTACTCAGTTTAAAAGTGTTATGCACAGAAAGCTTATAAGGTCTGTCCACTTTCTCAGTGAAAGAGAGATGTACAGTGGTTGCTCCCACACCCGGAGGGAACAATTAGTTGCATTGCTTTACATCATCATGAACCATGTCCAGGAATTCTTCCTGAACAACCAAATCACACATGCCTTCAAAGCTTGATTCCTTTCCCACCCACCCACTTATTTAGCAGATCTTTCAGTTGGTTCACATAAGCCACCTTACTATGCCCAGCCCATCCTTTAAAGGGCTCTGTATTACACCTGAAACTGACAGGGTGAAATCTGAAACTGTTTTAAAACCAAATCCTTGAATTTGCCATAGCTGGCGGCATCAGCAGGAGACATCCTATTGAATATGTCCCTTTCAGCTTCACAACCGGAGTAGTCATTTTCTGATTGTCAGGAATCGAATGGATGGTGCACAGTTTTTCAAAAGTGATCAAACATTTGGCAATGTCTGTAGATTCATCATTAATAACCCCAACTCTGTGCCATGGGTGGAGTCTGGCCCAGCAGGACAAGGTGGTGGGAAGCCCCGGAGCACAGGAAATCAAGCATCAGTGGCATGATCAGCACACCGGGAGCCAGCCCCAAGGGGACTTTGTGACCGTTGTCTCTCAAGTAACTTATGTGCTTTTGAAAATTGTGCCTGTGTCTTTAGTCCTGCCTAATTACAGCCAGTTATAAAAGGTTCCACTCTTTGTCCCAGCCTTGGTGATAACAATGTTCTTTTTTTTAAGACCCAAACACATTTTGCAATTTTATGAGTATAACTCAGTAACAGAAAAGTTGGTCCAAACGTTTCTGTTAGGGCTACTGTCTCCACCACTGAGGATAGTATATGCAGTTCTCAAAACAGCTACCTAAAAATAACAGCAGCTTATTAAAGCCTTCATCTTTCTGGCAGGAAATAAAAGCCGAATAAATGATAACTTTAATTAAGGCAAATAATAAATTATTTTAATTCATGTAAACATCAGTAGGGAATAAGGAAAGCCAAATAAGCCATCTTAACAAACTACTTTAATAAACTTCATGGAGTATAAAATAGCTACTGCAGTGGAAAAATAAATGAGGTGACAGAACAATGAAAGAAATAAAACCAGAAAGCAGCTGAAAGGAGATGATCACCCCAGGACATTCAAGTTCCTGATGGATTCTGAAAGCCAGTGATGACGCTTCAGAGGCTGGGCCTAAACAGCTGTTTCTGAAAGTCTCCCTGGCACCTTTGAAGTGGAAGAACCTGTCTTTCACAGCCTCACTACTTCGGAGGGAGCCACCAAGTTGTCGGTGGGGAGCTGTGAAGCAGTTTCCCCAGGAGGGAGTTAGCTCAGTCACGTGCACTAGGACAGTCTGGAACTCAGATGGAGCTCTCCGCCCCGTACTTGTGCACCTGTGGTGCGTGCTTTCAAGCAACAAGGGAGCAAAGGCAAAGAATGGGATGCATCTGGTCTACAGCTGGCTATGTGGAGGGGGAAGGGGAGTAAAAGTTTGCAAGCTTGTGGGGTAACTGGTTCTCTCTGAGCTACTACCCTTTACAAAGGCTTGAATCCCTGGCAAATCACAGATGGGGGTTGGTTCTGAATGTAGGATTTATTATACTGTAGCAGGCCATTTGTCTTCATGTCCAGTATTATAGCTGTATATTGGCTGATACAAATACTGTGAAGAAATGTCTGCTCTCCCACAATGCCCCTGACCGACAGGACAGTGCAGAAGAGGATACGGTTGGATTCCGTCTTGACCTCTGCAGCAAACCTATTTGCACTCTGAATCAGGCAGTGCTGGGGTTAACTTTTGGTCAGGAATGTTCTACGTGCTGCTTTTTCTCCATGGGACTTAAAAACCTCCAGGGATGGAGAGTCCACCACCTCCCTAGGGAATCCATTCCAGTGCTTTGCCTAATATCTAACCTAGACCTCCCCCACTGCAACTTAAGACCATTGCTCCTCATGCTCTCATCTGTCACTACTGAGAACAGCCTCTCTCCATCCTCTTTGGAACCTTCCTTCAGGAAGTTGAAGGCTGCTATCAAATCCCCCCTCACTCTTCGCTTCTGCAGATTAAACAAGGCCAAATCCCCCAGCCTCTCCTCATAAGTAAAATGCTCCAGCCCCCTAATCATTTTGGTTGCCCTCCTCTGGACTTTCTCCAATGCATCCACATCCTTTCTATAACGGGGGCCCAAATCTATTGGATGCAATAGATTTCAATAGAAGTTAGAAGCCTAAATTTCTTTGTATATCTGAGCCGTACTGTCTTGTCTGCTGAGGTGTCCCTTCATCCCTGGGTCAGTAACTACACCGTTGATATCTGGAGGGGGAGATTATTTCTATTTTCTCACTCCCCTTCCCAGGTCAATTTATGAGTAATGTTCCTTGCAAGCTGTGCGCTTGTTTGGCTGCTCAGGAGAAATTCAAATCCTGCCCAGCTGATTTGCAGAGCTCCAACAGCTGGGCTGTTTGTTTCTATCGGTGGTGCACATTCACACATGCCTTGCTGCACATAAAACTGAATTCCGCACGTGGATGGGAAAAATCCATACATGGCTGTTACAGATTAGAGGAAACATGGTGTTATGAGATCTGCTTTCTTACTGGACAGGACTTAATCTTCCGTTTCATGGTTCATGTCCTTGCAGATTAATTGGTACACTCGTCGGGCAGTGCTGGCCGGCATCTACAACACCACGGAGCTGGTGATGATGCAGGACTCGTCATCTGACTTTGAAGAGACTTGGCATTTCCTAGAAAACAGAATAGCTGATGCCATGACGATGGGCCATACAGCTAAGCAGGTAATACATAGGCCATGACTACACTGCATTCCCAGGGTTTGTTTCCGCTTGAGCAGACCTAGCGAAGCTACCTAGCTTCAGTATTGTATCACTGAGTGTATACACCCCTCCATCACAGCAACACATATTGACAATCAACCGCACGTGCGTAACCCTGTCCTATGAGCCTGTACAAGTGTAAAATCAGCAGAAAGCTACAACGTGTTCTTGTCTTGCCTAGGTACAGTCAACAGGAGAAGCACTCGTCCAGGGCCTAATGGGAGCTGCAGTCACTGTAAGTAGTGTTGAAAGCAGAGCGTCTAAAGAGCAGACTTGGTGTTGGTTTGCTCTTCATCCCAAGTTTAAAATCCAGCTGAGAGAGTCTTCCTATCGGGGGGGGGGAGAAGCTAAGTGTCAGCTGCTTTGCTGCTGGAGCTTCAAGTCACCAGCATCTGGAGATTGTTTTTCTGGGGTGGAAAGTATTTAAATCAGGGTGGGCAAAAGAGCTTCCACGGGCCGATTCTGGCCCTTCAAGCCAGTTGATCTAGCCTGCGGCTGCTCTGCCACTCCCCCGCCCCCAAACATTCAAGACCTGGGGATGCGGGAGTGCATGAAGTTTCCCCCCCATCTCCAGGGGTGCGCAGCACCAGAGGGAACCACCAGCTGTTTTGTGAGAACTGCCACACACCCCTTGCAGGGAGGGGGCAGGGAGGCAAAAACGTCATGCGATCCCCTGCCTTCAGGCCTTAATTGGCCTGGGAATGTGCAAAGTCTCCTTCCACTGCCAGGGGCCCGTGGCACATAGAGGGAACCACCAGCTGTTCAAAATAGCTGCTGGTTCTCTCTCGACACTGGGGGGTGGGGAGGGAAGGAAGTGGAGCTAAGACTTCACGTGCTCCCTCACCCCCATGCCAATCAGGGTCTGTGGGTGGGGAAGCACAGGTAGTGTTTTGGCCCCACACCTTCCCAGGCAGCCTGGGGCCACTTCAGAAATGTGTAACGTGACCCCACTTCAAAAATTATTACCCACCCGATTTAAATGGTCTGCTGATTTCCCTATCCACAACACAGTGCAAAAAAAAACCCCAACAAAAAATGTAGCTGCAGGTTGGATGTTAGAGGATTGGGTGAGGGAGGATGGAAAGGGAGGAGGAGCGGTCACAAGAAATACTTTATCAGTCTTTTCTCCTTGTAATATCTTTCCTGGTCAGTGACTAAATTAGGGACTTTAAGGAAAACAAGGGTATTTCCTGTAATAGTGTTTGGTTAAAGAGTTGGGAGTGCATTTCCCTTGAGTCAGTCCTGAAATCCTGCTCCAGTTCTTTGGTTAGGCGATACAGTGCTGCAGAAGAGATCTCTGCTCAGGTAAGATGTAAGACCAAGTTCTTGACCACTTGTGATGGCTAAATACCCCCTGGACACATCTTACGAGAGGCAGGGGTGCTTGTACCAGTGTCCTGGCCAAACTGCTAGCCTGGGATTATGTTCTGGATTAAATGACTTCTACAATTTCATTTGAATACGGTGTTCTCTTCTGTCACTAAAAACTGCTGTGTGCCTCTGCAGAGGTGGTAGCATGGCTGTGACACAAAGTGATTCCTCTGGGTTTATAACTGATAAAGTGCTTTGAGTTCCTTTGGGATGAAAGGGTGCTAAGCAAATAGATTATATCACACTGTTATTTTAGCAAGCAAGCCTGTCGGCACTGTGCTCCTATAATGCGTTTCTCTACAGCACAGATCACACATGCAACAAAACAAACTTTCCACTAACAGAAATAAGCTTTTTTTCATGAATTGGAACAGTTGGTGCTGCCTGTCGCAGGTCTTAAGGATTAAATTCACAACCCTGGATAGGTCACTTATCCTTCACCGCAGACTGGGAGGGTTTTTCCTGCCATTTGTTGAAAGGACTCTAGGCTCCTTTGCCACAGAAAATCTGAGTCTGTGTTAGAGCTGCTGCCAATCTCATCACTGTAGATTTATTCCGCTTGCACCAGGGATTGTGGCACATCCTGTTGGAGATTTAGCGTATCTGAGCATCCGTTACGTTACTTACAAAGTGAGCAAAATTAAAGGAGGTTAAAGGGGTCATTTTAGTTCAGTAGTTCAAAAGCAGAACGTTAATGATGGGAGGAGTCCAAGGGTTGAAATTGTTCCTTCCAAGTCCAAGGTTGGAACTCCTACACAGGGGCACTAAGGCCTTGTCTAGACTCCATGGCTCCCATGATCTACTTCAGCCATGCACATAGCATAGCTGAAATTGACATGCTCACAGAGGCGTCTTGCCTGTGGTAAGGTCGGAGGGGCTGCTCTCATGTCAACACAGAAGTACCAGTATCAGTGGAGCCTGCTTGGAGATCTATTTATCATGTCAACAGCAGATGTGATAAATGGATGGCCAGTGGATCAATGGCTGCAGTGTAGACAAGGCCTCAGATCCCAGAGAGCTAGTCAAAGGAGTTAAATAAAAGGGGTTTGTATTAAGGATGGTAAGTATCAGGTAATTTACTAATCAAATAGTTGATGCATTTTTGCTGATCCCGGGCTACAAGCGGTGCTGCCACTTTGAAATGTCGTGAGGAGCCCGACACCGGGCTCCTTGTGGCATTTCAAAGGAGCAGCACTGCATGGAGCAGCTGACCCTGGGCTCCATGCAGCGCTGCTGCTTTGAAGTACTCGCCTCTTCTCCCTCCCCTTGATTGCTGTCTCTGATAGAGGTGCGGGCAACTAGTCAACTAGTCCTTCACATCCCTAGTTTGTATTGCTTTCCAGGGGCACCTGTAGCCAATTCAAGAAGTGATGTTGATTGTGCTCTAGCGGGAGCCACCTGCTGCCCTCATTGTCTGGAGAGAAGGCTGACACCATTGCAAGAGAGGAGAGAATAGATGTAATTCCAGAGAACAGCCATTAGATAGGTGTGATGGTGAGCACACAATGTCTAGGAGTCCTTTCTGTAATCCCAGTCCGCCTGATATCTGCATAGTCCCTTTCTAGGGAGACAGATTTCCAATCATCTAGAAGGAACAGCCACACTGAACAGCCATCTACAACTGGTATTAATTACTCTAATCATTCTCTGATTTCTGCTCTGTTCTCTTGATGTGCTACAGGTAAAGAACCTGGCAGGATTAAACCAGAGGCGATGAAGAGGATGGGAGGTAGCTGAGAGGCTGGGCGATGCCTTTTGCCTGTAAGAAGATGGAAGGCAAAATCCCAGTGGGCCCAAGAACACAGAGCCATTCACAGCAGTGACCCACTGCAGCACTGTTAGAAATGCCCCCTGTGCAGAAGCTGGTTGGGCAGCATAGCACAGGCCTCTCTAGGCTTCCTGTGTGTGCTCCCCTCTGATTAGACTTTCCTATGACCCCCCCATGTAATAACACTGATTAGCTCATTAGACAATTGTGACTAAAGGTTGATTGAACTGAATTAACCCAGTGCCTCTGGGCATTTTTCACTTGTACTATGGGCCATGTGAGCCTCCCCCGCCCGCGGTTGGGCAGCATAGCACAGGCCTCTCTAGGCTTCCTGTGTGTGCTCCCCTCTGATTAGACTTTCCTATGACCCCCCCATGTAATAACACTGATTAGCTCATTAGACAATTGTGACTAAAGGTTGATTGAACTGAATTAACCCAGTGCCTCTGGGCATTTTTCACTTGTACTATGGGCCATGTGAGCCTCCCCCGCCCGCCATCGCG